CCAGATATCACTTCAATATCCGTTTACTTATTTTGTTATCCGGATATTCCAAACAGTAGGGGTTTTCACACCGGGCTTGGTACTCGGTAACTCGATGTTCGGTCATTTTCGAATGTATTTTGTTTGTGCAAAATAGTATTACACAAACAAGATACATGGGAAAAAATTACCGAAGACCTTTTTACCGAGTACCAAGCTTCGGTGTGAAGACCAATAATATTTAAACGGAAAAACTGTTCTCAGAATTACGAAAAAAAATCGACTATAGTTATTAGCGAAATTCCCTGTGAAATATTTTCGAAACAGTGAAAAAGTACGCCTATCAAAACCTAGTTCTTTCTTAAATTTTATTCTGAGTAATTAATTTTTGATAAAACTCTTATTTTTAGAGTATTTAACATCTATCAGATCAGGGAGCCAATTCTTGTTCCGTGAAAACGAGAAGTGAAAGCATTTTTCATCATTTCACGAAACAGTTACGATTCTGTTTTCAAATAGAAATTAATTAATTTCTTAAAAAGTTTTGTGGCGTGAAAAAGAAAAGTTTGGCTTCTTTACCAAAACCATCATTTTGTGATAACGAATATCGTTGTCTTAAACTCATAATAATTTAGATACCAAATAATTACTTGCTAGAAGTTAATGTAAGAGTCTTTAATGATCGGGAATCGCTTAAAATGTTATAATGAAATGTTAGGGTGAAGTAATTAAATTTTCACTGGCATTGAATTTTTCGTTTTCCCTTCTCCATTTCATATAACGAGAATTGGAGCCCAGGTCGTAGTGGATATAATCAAAAGTGAATATGAAGTGAGTATGTACATACAGTGTTTATTGATAGTTTATTTTTGTATGTACATACAATGTTTCAAATTTATCTTTTAGTCGTACTTGGCACACATTTAAACTATGTATGTATGTACATCACAAAATATGTTTTACATAAGTACTTATTTCAAACCAAACAGCAACTACTAATTTCCATTTATTAATTATCTTGCCGTACGTGTATTAGGATGGCTCTTAATGGGATTATTATTATTATTATTATTTTTCGAGTTTGATTTTTTCGCGAGTAAAGATGTGATGTAGTGGTAAGAAGAGCGCGCTTCCACTCGGCAGGGCCTGGGTTCAAAAAAGGGTTTTCTTAACAGTGGTCGCCCTCGGCAGGCAATGCCAAACCTCCGAGTATATTTCTGCCATGAAAAACAGCTTCTCATTAAAATACAATCGCCGTTCTTCGGAGTCGGCGTAAAACTATAGATCCCTCCCCTTTGTGTGACAACATCAAGGCGCACGCCACAAATCGGAGGAAAAGCTCGGCCAAACACTAACATATGCATAAGCGCCAATCTATTATTATTAAGGATGATACAAAACAGAAAGACGGAAATTCCTTTCAAAATACAGCATTTCCTGACCTTACTTGAAGCAACGGCCACCGAAAATAAATTATTAAATTAATTATAAATTATTATTATTAAGTTTCCGCAAGTTAAGCGACGGCAATTATCAAGTTTTTGATAATTTAGTTTTTTTTTTTAGTTTTGCATAAACGATGAATATTCCAAATATAAAGTATGGTTGCATGCGAAGAACAAAATTTTAACTAGATGTAATACAGCGCCTGGACACCTGTCGTTAGAAGGTATGTAGGTGAATTAGCTTGACGGCTTTCATTTACATACGTATGTATGAATTTATGGAATTCTGTCCTAAAAATTCGTTCGTAACAAAAACAATTAAATTCAAGTAAAATTTAATAAATGTATTTGTGTACATACAAATGTACTTATTTACCTTCATATTTTAGCTGAAAAGTAAAGAAATATTATAAAGTTGACGTCGTTACTATCTGTTACTTAGCCCATTTCTTATAGCCCCAAATTTTGTATTTATTTCCACTGATAATATTTATTTAATAACAAACTGTGTAAATTCTCACAAAAATGTGTTTCCTTAATAAAATTGTTGCTACAAAAGAATTGTATTTGAATAGGAGACACGCTGTATAAAAATTTTTGACTTACTTTCGGTGTACATACATACGTACATACATAGGTACCCACTGGGAAAATAGGTAAGCACCTTGCGAGGTAAGCCATGTTTTCTTTCAGTTTTTAGTACCAAAATTGTCATCATGACCAATGTCATCTACTAGTAAAGGGCAAAATGAACACCTCCGAAGACACATTACGTTGTCAGTTGCAAAATAACGTGCAGCCGAAGTTATTTCCAAGCACCGAACTACTCCGAGCGACTGCTCTGCATTACACGTAACTTACTTTGTAAAGCGGCTCAGAAGTATGTCTGATACCAAATGTACATTCTATATTCCTACTTACATAAGGCGGCCATGCCTTTGTAAAAGTAAGGGACGTTCGGCAGGGAAATGGTAATGACTGCCAGGTGAAGAGTAAGTTGCTAATAAGGTATTATTACGTGCTTCTAATTCCCACTGGGTATGTACATACCAGTATGAATGCCGGCAAATACATCCCAGTCGGAAAAGTAGTAATGCATGTCATGCGTGATAAATAATATAATGTATTTCTTATGGGTTTTCGATTATGTTACTGATAACTATGTAATCAGCATTCTAATGTATTCAAAAAGTTCCAAAAATTTCATATTAAAACACTTTCATTTCTCGATACTAGGTAATGCAAAATTGAATGCCCCACATTTCTTAGGACATCACCCTGGGGTATAAAATGCCTTTTCGAATGTGAAAAGGGTTGTTATACTGATTACTTTTTCGATTACTATACATTACATTTTCCCACTGGGATACACCCGTTTTTTCCAATACGGCCGCTTATTCTGAAATATACATACAACTAGTGAGCTGCTAACCGCCGATTTACGAAAGCGCTATTTCCATACTAAGGGCCGGTTACTCAATGTCAGGTTAACACTAATCTCCGGTTAAGGATAGATATCGACGTTACCGACTCCCCGTTAAATGCATGGAATCGACGGCATCCATGACGATGTTTAACCGGAGATTAGTGTTAACTAGACATTGAGTAACCAGCCCTTAAAGTAAATACGCAAGGCAATTTGGAAAAAATAATATTTTTTTTGGCATTTAAATATTTTTCGGTGACACTTAAATCATCCTACACAGTGGCGTAGTCAGGTGGTAGAAGGAGGATATGTTAGAATAGATCTGCCACCTTCGTTAATAAACTACTATTTTTTATTTGGGTGGCAGGGGGGAGTTTTTTTTTTACTTTATTTTACTCTTCGGATATTTAATTTTTTTTCCAGACTAATAGCAAAATAAATTTGTTTATGCTTGCTGCCATGGCAACCGCGTGCATTTTATTCTTGTAAATTTACAAATGCAACGAATATGCAAATCCAAGAGCATATGTATGTACAAGATCCTGAACAGACCTATTGATTCTTAAAAATTCTATACCATTTCCACGAAAAATTGTTTTTTTTTTTCATCTAAAATATATGGAAAACTTTGAGTGCTTTGAGTGATCTCTAAATATATTTTTATTTCGAAATAACTCTGCAATTCCGTTTTGATAATATGTAGTTCTTAATGTAACAAAAGATGTCTTGCTATTTTTATTTTTTTATTATTTTTTAGTCAAACAGTTTATACATATCACTCACTTTCTAAAAGACCGCCATAACTTAAAAAAAATCAAATTTTTGGGCAAATGATGCAAAATTATTCATTTTATCATGCTCAATATTAGGGGTATTTATCTAAAGTGATAAAATGTCGATAAACGTGTTAACCGGGTTTTTTTAATAGAAATGTATCATTTATCACGTTTATTGACAGTTTATCACTTTAGATGAAGCCCCCAATTGTGCAAATACTGAGTGCTAAAATTTGGTGTAGTTTCCGAGTAAGTAGATAATACCTATGTGTTTATTTTTTTCTGCATTTTACGAGCATATTGAAAGTTTTAAACGCGTTTTCTAAAAAAAAAAAAAAACATGTTTGACACAGTGTTTTCGTAAATGACCGATAAGTGTAATCAATTCGATACAGATGCATAAAATATGAGCTCATTTGCATACAAATGCATACATACATACATTAGCGCACACGGGGGGTGGGTTTTGGGGTTCAAACCCCCCCTAAAGCTAATAACCTCAAATACAAACTGTATCTTAAAGCTAAGAATCCAGCTCCCAAGGAAATTATAAGAAATATTTATTATAATTTCTGTTGCCTGAAAAAGCGCTTTGCTTTTGCTGTAAATTTCTATGAGGAAATAAATATACGAGAATTTTTTTCTTGAGAGCTGCAAACTGATTTAAGAAATTTTGGTAGAAGAAAATTTCTTTTCCATTTCCCGTCCGTCGTTTTATATGAATTTTTCGTTTTTCTTGAGAGTTCAGTTAATTTTTTCGGTTTTCGAAATATTAAAAAAATTTAGCAATCGTGAAAACTCACCATCTCTATCGAAAACCAGAAACCAGAAATCGAAAAAATGAGCTTAAAAGTGCAAAAATTTATGGAATCAATAAATTTATTTTTACTGACTCTTTTAAAATTTTTTAATAGGTACTTTTAAAAGTTGAGCGCATATTGAGTTTATAGAACTTTTTATTAAACAAGTAGTTTTTAAGGAAAGAACACAACCGACTTCAAATTTAGGGGTACCGTTAATTTCTTCATGATCCAATCATCGGATCTCTAAACCAAATTACCGGACGACCCTTGAGGTATCATCTTTCCAATAAAAAAAGGATTATTGAAATCGGTTCACGTCGTCAAAAGTTATGTATTCCGGCGTATTGATAACCTCCTTTACTTTTGAAGTCGGTTAAAAGTGTTTGAGTTCTGTTAATCTTATGTAAATAAAGTGCAGTTTATGGATTTTAAAACGTTTATTTATTTATTACATACTGTACATAAAACTTGCATGAATGCATTTTAAAGAGCGTATTATCTGAAGCAAATTTTCAGTATTTTCCGGTGATATATATTCAGAAATATAAAACCCCCCATAAAATATATTCCTGGGTGCGCCCCTGCATACATAAATATGCATGTATAGCCTATCTGTGTTTATGTATGTGTGTATGAATGTCATTTTCCCTGACTTCTCTATTCTTGGTCTCCATTTTCTCGATCAGTGCCTGCAGCTGGTGACGCTTCATAAATTTGCACTTGTTTGAAGCGTGAAGATAGTTGCTGTGACGTTTCCAAGTCCCTTTTATAGTTTGCGATTGCCTTTTCCAATATTTGCTCAACTGGCGAGAAAGTGGAACGCGAACGTAAACGCGCTTTGGCTATTTCCAATGACTACAAGAATAGGTAAAAACATAAAAAACAACAATTAATACAATTTATATACTGTACATATATATATAAGTATATATGATAACATAACTAGTATGTACAACACTAATGTAGATATGGCGGAGCGGATAAAGGGGATTGATCCCACGTGAAAGTGGATAGTGAATTATGGACTTCCTTTCCTCCTTACCCTTAACACGAAGCTAATTAACTTTAATATAAAATATAGATAGGTCTAACATTTTTATTTATTTACAAAGTAGTAATAAAATGATTTTTAATAAATAGTAATTTTTCAGATTCTATTAGGCCTTTAATGAGTAATCTACCGACTTTTTCATAAAGCTGAATTTTTAAAGAAAATTAGTTAGGGCCTTTTTATATTAAGGTAACGTATGTGTGTACAAATATGAACACTGGGTTTATGTAGTGAGGTACATTAGGATGCATCACCAAAAACAAAAAAAGCTGCGGTTTTTAAACTCACACTCTTTGATAATCTGAGGTGATTAAAAAAAATATATATATATTTTTTTAAAAACTAAATTTACTTATAAAAAAACTCGATTTTTGGAGCTAGTTATATTTTTAAACGTTAATATTTTTAAGAAATATTTTGGCAGAAGTCTTAAAATGTATTAAATTTTATATTTCCGATGGAAAAGATTACCGATTTTTTTTTTTTATATGCACATTTGCATAAATTTATTGCCCAAATACCTACTTTGAGTAAATTTGTATTTCTCGCGATTGATTCTTCGTAGGAGAGAACTTTAGTTGTCTGCGCTGCAGTTTGGTTGCCGTTTTGCTCCTGCAACTTTTCCAACTTCTTTTCATCGGCTTTGCTGAAAAATAAAATACAAATCGTAATAGTTTACCCGAAAATCCTTTGCAAAACCAATTTTACTTCGAATTCGCAATCTGGCATCACAATCAAGGAATTTAAGTAAAATATGAAAATCTTCTAAAACTAACTAAAGGTCCCTCCATTTGTGGGGCAACACGTCACATATTAGAGGAGAAGCTCGGCTAAAGCACTTAGGGCCGCTTACTCAATGTCTGGTTAACACTAATCTCCGGTTAAACATAGTTATCGACTTTACCGACTACCTATTATATGCATTGAGTCGTAGACGTCGATAACGATGTTTAACCGCAGATTAGTGTTAACCAGACATTGAGTAACCGGCCTTAATATATTGTGTGAAGGACCAAACGTTTTTTGTTGTGGTTCATCCTCATAACTATCAATACTGTGTCCAAGGATAACTTACATGCATACATACATATATAACCAGTCTGAGAAATCTTCGTGAAATCTTGTAATAATAAACTTCTAAACTGCAACGCAGCTTTTTCGAAGATGTACATACATACATCAGGGTGCACCTAATTTTTCAACTTCGACCCGCAAAAGCAGGACTCCCCTCGATAGGTTTCTTTGCTCATAACAAGTAATTTTTATCTGCATATTTACCTATACGTATTGCGAAGTTAAGTTATACATGTAAAGTTTTCACTATTTACCTACAACCCATAATTACAAAATCCCAAAATCTATTATAATCCTTAAGTTTCAAGATGTTGGCAGTCTGCTTATCGAAATTAACATAAACCATCACGTTTATATTGCATACTTTTGGGCTGAAAGTTTGCACCTTTTGATATGCATGTAAATATGTACATATGTACATATCAGTTCGCCACTATCTCCATACAGCGGTTACTTACATTTTTTCCAACCTCTTATCGATCTCTGCCTCCAATGCAGAATACTTTTCATTAATTTCGCTGATTACATCCATTTATGAAACTCTTTACTCTTTTATTTAGTATATAATTAACCACTATTTTCTGTATTGAAAACTTGAAAAGCTACTGAGTGCAAGTTCACTGCCATCTAGTTTGGTAAAAAAAAAAATAAGAAAATTAAGCTTAAAAATATGTACAACCACTGGCTGTAAGCGTCTCGTCTATACCAAACACCTGGTTGTCAAGCCAACAAGCAGAATGCCAGAGGGGTGGTTAGTACAGTAAATAAAACGCAAAATTTCGTGATGCTAACGCCTTTTTATTATTGTTATTATTTAGATATTTTAGTTTTTTTACGTGCGTACTTTTTTTGTTTATTTGTTCGCCTTTTTATTTGTTGCGCAAAATTACCGATAATTTTATAATTGGTATTAATTGTAAATTATAGAAAATTGTAAAGTACCAAATTGTCCCATATTCAACTTGCTTCATATTATTAACATCCAACGACATTCAAACATAAAAAGCGCTGAATTCATAAAAGTTAAGTGTAAATAGATTTGAAATATTCAATCGATAGAAGAATCGTAAGTTTCTTTTTGGAAGGTGGTGCTTCCGAAAATCTCTTTCCATAAAGCGTTTCAAACCTTTTTTTGAATTTTTGTAATAAAGAAAATGTATCACATACGCATCCTGAAGTACAAACATTTAATACTTGATAATTTTCATTCTTACGTCAATTAATTTTAAAATCCACTTGTGGCATACACATGTTTAATTTCTTAAAAATATATGTAGATGTTACTAGTATTATAATGTAGATTAGAGCCTCTACTAAATCAACTAGTCATATTTAAGACTTTAACATAAAATCAGCTATTACGGGCGCCACTCGTTCCGGGGTAACCAGATGCAAATGGTGCGTACCAGGTACTTTCTCAAATATCACTAACTCTGCGTTCTTTTTCAGCGTTTCAATAACCTCGGTGTAAAATAGTGGATTTTGAAACGTCATGCCGGGATCAGCACGTATATTGAGTACTTTACAGCGTATAAGCTTTGCATAAGCTATAACTTGCTCTTTCGTGAACATGCCAAGCAAGCTCACTTTCAAGCGCACATCGCGTGCAAAATTAAAGCCATCCTTTTTTATTTCGGCTGGTGTTGGTGACATGCCACGCCGCATCAACACCTTCGCACCCTCTTCATCCACTGAACCGTCATACGCATCTACAACTAATTTAATCATTTCTTCATAATTATAGCAGGGCATCTTGTTCAGCGATAAATTCTCGTAATCCAACATTTTATCTATTGCCCAGCCAGTTTTTTCCGCAGAATGATCAACATTGCGCACTGTTGGTCCAGCAATATCGATGTTAATGAGTTTTTCCACTTCATTTGGGAAGCTAGCCGCATACATGAAAGTCAATGCGCCACCCAAGGAATGGCCCATCAGTGTCATATTCTCCCAACCGTAGCGGCGTACTATGCGCCGTATGAGGGCAATGCCATCCCAAAAGATGAAATACTGCATTCCATTTGGATAGTGTGACGACTTACCATGGCCGGGGAGATCAATGCAGAGTATTGGAATGTGCGCCGGCAGCAGTGGACATAGACGATCGAATGTACCGGCATTGTCCTGCCAACCGTGGAGAGCGAGTATTGGCTGGCGATTCTGTGGTCCCCACCATTTACCTGAAAGGATGTAAGAGGTTTAAAATATGTGCTTAAAATGTACGTAATTCTAGGAACTAAATTAAGATGACAATACATAACGTTGATTCATTTGTTGGTAGCATTTGATTAATACGAGATTCGTTTACTGATAGCGTTTTCTTTTCTCGAAATAATGTTGCATCTATTCCGCCCTGCGCCAGGGCTGTGAAGACTTCGTGTTCTTTTCTCAGCATCTTCACATGATCTTTCTTTAAAATGTTGCACTCTGATAATGTTGCCATATAAGAAGGTGACATTTTTTTCGAGAAAAGAAAACGCCACCAAATAACCAGTTTTAATGGCTTTAAGAAAAAAGTGAAATGTTCCGTAAAAATTGTGAATATCTTTCAAATGACAAAGTAAATCCTTGAGACTTAATTAATCGGTTTAAATATGTTACGACCACGCATATGATTAAGTGCTAAAAATATGTATGTACATATGAAAAAAGTTGTAATAAGCTTTGGACTTTAGTGCTATCTCCGTAGCAAGTTAAAAATATCAAATTATTGCTTTGCTTATCGTCAATTTTGGCATTCGACATCTTTCAACCTCAATAAGGGGATTGCCAAATCAAGCTTATCAAAATCGATAGCATTCAATAAAAAAAGATTTTGAGTAGCTAAAACCTAATGAAACGTAATAGCAACACACATATTTGCATTTGTATATACATACATATGTATGTATGTAGTTGCTGAGATTAGCAATATTAGGGTGAGCATCTAGTTTAGGTTTTCTGCACAGATGCACCTGCATACATACGATATACTCGTATTTACTAATATTACGTACGTAGTATAGCAAAACTTGTTTCTAACCCCCACCCCCCTTACTAGCGAGCTAAAAGCTTTGTTGGATGAGCTAACGCTTTATCATCTGTAAATCAACAAAACTGGGCGCGCACAAATGACTAATCCTACACATAGTATAGATTTTATCAGCAGCACCAAATATTTTTCCTAAAACTTGAATCAATAATGAAATAAATGCACAGGAAGACCTCGCTATTTTTGATTTCCCATTGTCTTGTAATTCGAATTGAAGTTAGCACCTCCAAGTTGTCTTTAACGAAATGTATCAGTCTTATTGTGTATGTATCTATTTTTATTCAAGCGAATGTTAATTTTAAAAACATAGGTACTACTCATATCTAGTAACCACCTTAAAAAACATTCATTATTTAAAAGGGCAAATGAAACTTACCAGCTACTGTACCCCATGGTACTGCGATAGAGACTTCTTTCCATGAATCTTCATCCCTGTAGCACCCATTACTATCTAAAAAAAAAAAATTAATACACATTTAAAAAAGGAAATCAAAACAAACATTTATTGTGACATTGCGGATATGTAGGTGATCTACATGCATACATATGTATGTATATCGTCGTTTAAAGCACAAAACCGCGTACCAACAAAGTGCAAAACCGTGTATAAAGATAATGCAAAGCCGCGTACGTGAGGTTGCATAAATTATTTTCTAGAGTAAAAAAACTCATATTTCAAAATGGTTATCTTTTTTATAAAGTAATCGCATTTCTGGCTGGCATATTTCAGGACGAATGGATTTGTACTTGAAACGACGATATAATCTGGTGCCTCTTTCTTTGCCAGCGCGATATTTCCTATTGCATATTTTACTGTAATTACATTAATAAGCACAATAAAATGCATTTGCCGCAGCTTATTCGCGAGTTCGCTAAGACCAATCGTAATTAGATTCACAGCTGTTTGACACACACGCGTTTGCGGAGCATTTGTGTACTTTCAATATGTAATGAAAACCTACTAGTGGATATTTAATGTATTCACGTTCTCTGCCATCAACGCACAAGCTTTTCTTAATGGCTCATCGACACCTCACCTGATTTTAGTGCTTCTATTCATTAATTTATATACTTACTTGCTTTTATTGGTGCTTCAGCAACACCATTGGTTGTGCTGGTCCCATTCATTTTCACAGAAGCCACACTGCTGTTGGCCGAATCCATTTAACGTATTTTTGCAATTTACCTGAACGTTAAAAAGTTATTGAAAGACAACAGCAGCTATCACAGTCCAATAATCTGAGTTTTCCCACAGCGTTTATTGCAAAATCTAAAAAGGTGTCTGGACAAAAATTTCGTATTGACACAAAACAGCTGACAGCTTGACTTTTGCCACCTTGAGTGTTGCCACCTCAAGTTGTTAAAGATAAAGAGGCTGTCACACACAGAGCTGCCATCCTACAAAGAACGGAACGGAGTGTATTGAATGCAAATGATTGCAAGGCACGTAACGTAACGTGAACGGAACCATCTAACAGGCCGTCTTCACGTGCTTGAAAATTTCGCCACCGTGGCGAAGCATTCAAGATCCCGCACCTGTAGACTGCAAAAAGTACGAAGCATAATTTTTCTCGCATACCGAACGGTTGGCGACCTCTTATTTGTTTTCAACTGCCATTTTTGTTGATTGACAGCTATTTTTTTAATTTCGCAAAATTCTTCGAATCAGCCACATTCGCTTGCGAAGAAAGTAGGACTGAAGCGAGATTTTCAAACAGGTAAAGGCAGCGGGTAAAATCATTTACCCCGAGTATTATAACATGTCGTCTGCAATAACGATTGTTTATCTGCCGCGATAGATCTCCGGCGATAAATCGCTTGAGGAGACCGCTCATCGCAATCCCAGGCGATAGGTAGCAGAAGATATCGCTTGCGAGCCATCATAGGCTATGAACGGTCAAATAGTGATTTTCACAGTTGCTTTTAACTTTGAATTTAGGCAAATATGTGTTATTTTTTATAATAGTAGCGTTCCAGATGCTTCACGATTTACAGAGTTTAACAGAAAGCTGTTCCCGGTTGCCACCTTCCATAAGGTCTATTAATTGCGAAAACAGCGTTTCCTGTAAATCCTCTAAAACCTGAAAACCGTGAAGCATCTGGAACGCAACACAAATATACGCTAAAAACAATGTGGAGTAGGCAATTTCTGCGAATACAGTTATTTTCGTCATGTGGAATGTACTCGTGACGTTCAATGCTGCGGAATCGATGCTGGTGTTGGGCTAGCTTGAGGTGCTGGGGAGGAGTAGTCCTTCCATAGTTTTTGCCCATGTGGATAGGAGGAAGATGAGCCTATGCGAGTCTTCCGCCGATCCTACCAATTTTTCGCATATCGTGGATGATCATCGTGGATGCTTTGACGTTGTTCTATGGTAAAGCACATTGGTGTGT